ATAGTCTCTGGGAAAATAAATGAGTGGTGAGGGTAATTAACGTGTATGAAAAAAGAAATTAAAAGGACACACAGTACCATTGCTTAGGGCGTGCCGTCCTAGCACGAAAATACAACGTTTATTCTGCCATCTATATTAATTTCATGAAATTCCTGTGTTTTTCCCTATTTATGGAATCATTATGAAGCCTTTTTCAACTGTCAATTTTCCAACCTAGATAATATATGAGGTTGTTGAATCTAATTAATTAGCCTCTTCCTACATCAGTTAGATATTTGTCACCCATTGTACATTTTGTGAATTTCATTCTGAAAAAAAAAATAAAAGATAGAAGACTTCCTAAGAAAAAGAACACCATGACGTCTTTATTTTGTCAGTGATAACACAGGCTGTAGCTCATACTTGTAGCTATTTTTCCATAATTCGTCCTAGATTTACTACACAAAAAAAAGAGTAATAAAGTGGAAAATTAATACGAACATCGAAAAACTTTTGGACCACAGCCGACTGCTATGTATCTCTCAAACTAGGTCGAAATCAATCACCAAAAATCTTAAGAAAATCTAAATGCAGACAGATTATTTGTCAACATTATGTAAAGAAGATTTTTCTTTTTGCTATTGGCAACTACAGCAAAAGACAAACCAATAAACCATGCTTTTTCTTTCTCTTTTCCCTTCACGATTTTGCAGGAAATTTGTCAATATTCTTCAATAGCCAAAAAAAAAAAAAAAGAATTATAGACAGAAAGCATGGTGGGCATGTTTTTTTCTTCAGAATTTAGTCCTTCCCAAAATTGTAAGTATGCCACTTTCTGGAATAGGCAATATATGTCCATACATCTGAAAAAGGAAACCCAAATCTGATCACATTGCATCAATTTCAAAAAAGCCAAAAAACATATAAATAGAAGTTTACTTGTATTGGAAAACATTTAATTAACCATATTTGCAGATGTAAATGTAAGAGTTCAATTGGTGGTAGCAGACGGTTTTATAAACAAACCCCATGAAGCAGAACATATTGCAGAAGCTGCACATCCTAGAATTACACCTGTTGCTGTGTTAGCTACTGAGGCATTACTACCTCAACAAGTTCTTTCATTTAGTAATTTGCTTTGGGGTAAATAAAAGGGAGTATGGGCAGACTGGAGAATGCCCAACTGCTCTGCATGGCAAGACAATAGGATGGCTTACAATCATCAACCAATAATTATTGAAGCCGCACAGAAATGGTTATATTATTCTATCAACTAATAAACATTAATTTGTAACTTGGTTAAACTACTTTGGTTCTAAAGAGTCTTTATATTGTTATGTATATAATTTACTCGATTTAACTTATGTATATGGATAACATAGAAAATTTGTATAGTAATATTGTAGCAGATAACATGGCTTCTTTTCTAGATTATTAGTAAAGGAGCGGAGTAAAGGGAAAAATGCTTGCCGTGTATCATTGATAATGTGCTCTTTAAATACAAGTGAATTGTGTGGGAAGAAATCCCACAATATCAGTAAAAATAAATGAATCATATCAAAAACCAAAGGTGTAAGAATCAGAAATATACAGTAATAAAATCAAGAATAAAAGATACTGATTTGGTGAATATTCTATCCTAATATAGCTCCATTATGCCCCCGCAAGTTAGGGGGTGGTGGAACGACCCCTAACTTGGAGACAACACATTGGGTTTGTGCTTTGGATAAGGGCTTTGTAAGTGGATCGGCAAGCTAGCCAACAAAGTGAACATGGACTACGTGGAGTTGTTGATGTTGAACTTGATCTCTAACAAAATGAAAATCAATGGCTATGTGTTTCATTCGACTGTGAAAAATTGGATTTCGGCACAAGTAGGTGGTGCCAATGTTGTCAGAGTAGATAGTTGGTACATCCTCAAGAGAAATACGAAGATCTTTAAATAGATTGGTGAGCCAATTTGTCTCAGCAACAGCATGAGCAACAACACGATACTCAACCTCAGTTGAAGATCGCGACTGTTCTCTGTATTTTTGACGACCAACTGATGGGTGTTGAACCAAGATAGATAACATAAGCAGAAGTAGAGATGCGATCATCTTGGTCACCTGCCCGATCGGCATCGGCATAGACATGGAGGGCAGTAGTCGAGTCACGGCGAAAAAGAAGTCCGTGATGGATAGTTGATTTGAGATACAAAAGGAGGTGCTTCACTGCTTGCCAGTGTATATGAGATGGTTGATGCATAAATTGGGAAAAATTATTAACAACAAAACTTATGTCGGGTCTAGTAAATGCAATGTACTGGAGTTTGCCAATTGCACTTCGATATTGTGATGCATATGTAGAAGAGGAGCCATCATTTAATTGAAGTGAACTTGTGGAGGACAAAGGTGTAGAGACACCATGACATTCCTGCATAGAGAATTCCTGCAAGACATCCATCATGTACTTGGTCTGAGAAAGAAATAAGCCATTCGAGTGAGGAATTACTTCAATGCCCAAGAAAAAGTGTAGGGGGCAAGATCTTTGAGGGAGAAACGGTTGGAGAGTGCCCCTTAATATTGTTCATGGATTGCAAATGATTTCCTATAAGAACAATGTCGTATATGTAGACGAGCAAGAAAAGAACAATGTCCTGAGCATGTAAGGTGAATAAAGAGTGATCAGAATGAGCCTTGAAAAAAACAACAGAGATGAGAAAATTTGTAAGCTCAGTGTACCAAGCATGGGGTGCCTGCTTTAGGCCATAAATGGCCTTGTTCAATCTGCAAACATAATTCAGGTAATTGAGATTCTCAAAACCTTTGGGTTGTTTCATGAAGACTTCCTCTGTCGGTGTACCTTGTAAAAAAGTATTGTTTATATCTAATTGATGAAGGGGCCACCTGTTTTGTGTGGCGATGGCAAGTACTGTTCGTACTGTTGCTGGTTTGACAACGGGACTAAATGTGTCAGCATAATCAATTCCAGGCCGTTGAGTGAAACCTTTTGCAAAAAGGCGAGCCTTGTAACGTTCAATCAAACCATCAGCTTTACGCTTGATACGAAATATCCATTTATTATCCACTATATTATGGTGATCCGATGGTGGGACAAGATCCCATATTTTGTTGGTCATGAGAGCTTCAAACTCACTTTGCATAGCGTTTATCCACTGGGGTCCTTTGGATGCTTGTTTTACTGTAACTGGTGGTATTTGGGATGTAAGAGTGGCCATGGATGCGTACTTTGGGTTGGGCTTAATTATTTGATGTTGTGAGCGAGTGACAGTGCTACGTGATAGTGAAGGCTGGTTAGTCTCAGAAGAGATGTCAAGTTCAGTTGACTCGTACTGTTGGGGAATGGAATCTGAAGAAGAGTGTGTTTGTGAAGTAGCATGGGGAGCACATTGAGTAGTAGGGGAAGAAGCATCAAGAGGGGAGGAATTTACCTGATTGTGTTGGACACCATTGCATTCTGACTGAGGGCACACAACTATTGACTGAGCAGTAGAGTTATTTGTACGAAGAGGCAAGCTTGAATCTTTGTGTAGATGCAGACTACAAAATTTAATAAGAGAAGATATGGTATGATCTGGCGAATTTTGAGAAGAAGATAATGTATATAAATTGGATGTGGAATTAAACCAGGAGATATTATGAGAGGATCCTTTATATTTGAAAAAAATATTTTCATATGGAAAAATATTTTCCAAGAACTTGATATCTCTTGGTGAAAGTGGGTAGAAAATCCTAAATAGACACATGATGTAGATCTTGGTTCTAGTTTATTTTTAGTATATGATTTTAGCCAAGGATAGCATAGACAACTAAATATACAAATTGAGAAAATATTAGAAGAGGTACCGAAGAGAGCTTGATATGGGAAAATATTACCAATGGATGTTGTAGGAAATCTATTAATTAGATAAACAACAGTTTGGCAAGTAAAACTCCAAAATTGTGGCGGTAGAGATGCTTGGTGAAGCAGGGTTCTTGCAGTACCTATGACGTCTTTCAGCTAAGGCAATTCTTTGAGGGGTATATAAGGGAGAGGATAAATGTTGAATACCAAATTCAGCAAGAATTGATTTTAGTCCTTTAAATTCTCCTCCTCCATCTGAATAAAGGGTGAGGATCTTAGTATTGAAAAAGTTTTCAATGAGTGGTTGAAATTCTGAAAAGATCTTGAAGACATCACTTTTTTATTTAAGTGTATAGAGCAAAATGTATTTGATAAATTTATCGACAAAGATAATGTAATAAAGCTTTTTATCCAGGGAGAGAATGAGTGAAGGACCCCAAGCATCCGTGTAAAGTATTTCAAAGATCTTTGAACTGCACAAAAAGTTCTGCGAAAAAGGAATCCGGTGGCTTTTATTGCAATTGCATGAATTACAAGATTGAAAATTATCAAAATAAGACAACTAATTATTGTTTAAGAGAAACTTCAGAAGACGAATATTAGAATGTCCTAAACGATGATGCCATATAGATAAAGGAACTTTTGAGGTATTTGCCATGTAGGCTATTGGAGATGAATGTGCTGAAGTTGTAAGCTTTGGCCATTCATACAAATCATCTCTATTCTGGCCTTGTAATAGCGGTGCCCCCGTTAGTCAGTGCCTTCACAACAAAGGACAAAAGAAAGAATTCAATAGATATTTGGTTTTGTTGACAAAATTTTGAAACATATATAAGATTCCTTTTAATAGATGGGGCACATAAAATGTTATGTAAAGAAAAAGAACGAAGTGGAGTGTTTAGTGTTGTAGAACCAGTGTGGGTAATCAAAATAATATTTACCATCACCCATTAAAACTTTTCAGAACCCGTGTATTCATGTGGAGAGTCTATGCTCTGAGGATCAGCAGTAATATGATGTGAGGCACCAGTATCCAGAATCCAAGGAGCAGCGTTGGAAGAATTCCGATAAGCATACATAGCCTTAGCTTCAAAATGGTTAAGTGATTTTGAACGGCTAATATTTGCAGTATGGCCAAATTTTTGGCATAACTGACATTGAACTGGCATTTTGGCCTACAACGGAGTGGAGGTATGCCATTGTTGGGAAAAGTTTCCATTTCTTTGAGTGTTCTGGGAATGCCATTGTTGTTGTCCAACAGGAGTAGTTTTCGGACGCCATTGAGGCTGGCCAGACCAACGACGAGTTTGCCTGTTGCTATTGTTATTATTATTGACTGTTCGCTGTGCAACTTGTACAGTCATGTGAGTTACTGATTTCTTCTTTTCAGCTTGCTTGAGATAAAGTTCATGATCTGTGAGCTTGTGTGAGAATTTTTCATATGATATAGGCAAGTCCCTTGATCGAATAACAATACTCAGTGCTTTATATTCGGGTCCGAGGCCGCTCAGTATTTTCACAATCAATTCTTCATTAGAAATGCGGGCACCGACAACAGCTAACTCATCAGTGATTATTCTTATTTCTCTGAGATAATCAGTGACAAACATTTGATCTCGCTGAACTTTGGCCAGTGCATCTCGAAGTCTATAGATCCGGGTTTGAGATCTATTCGCATATGTGGTATGCAAATAATCCCATGCTTTTTTTGAAGTTTCAGCGGAGACAACAGATGGTGCAATAGTAGAGTCGACAGATGCCATTAAGGCATTACCGATGAGACTATCTTGCTGAAACTAAATTTTGAAATCTGGATTGACAACATCTTGAGTTCCTTGATTAATGGTGTGTGTATGTTGTGTTATAGATCCATCGAGATAACCCATCAAGTCAAACCCATTCATGATCTTTTGAATTTGAGCTTTCCATGTTGCGAAGTTTGCACTACCAACAAGTTCGATATGAAGTTGTGCAGTTGGGTTTATGTTAATTCTCTGTGTTTTGGTTGCAACAACATCAATAACTGTGGGAGAGGTATTGTTTTGAAGAACAGAGGGGTGACTAAATCATTGTTGTTTGGATTAGTACCTGAAGCAAATGAGTCACCCTTTGATATTCTGGTGGTTTAGACGGAAGGAAAAAAAAGGATACTTTGTGAATAAGATGGAGAAGATGATTTTGGAGTCTATTATCACGACCCAAACCGATGGGCCGCGACGTGTGCCCGAGTCATACCTGAATTATGAGAATAACATACATAAGGAAAATCTGCCCAAAAGATATATGTACATATACGTGCATAATACGTAGGGCGAGCCGACAAGACTGTTATAGACAACTATATACCCAAAACTGGAAGCCGACAAGGCCACATACTATCCAACTATACATAACTGTCTACAGATCTCTAATAGAATATACAACTATACAAGGATGGGAGCCACGTCATACCCATATATGTATACAAGCATATCATACCAAAATCAAAAGCAGCTACGGATCAAATAGAGCACGCCAACTTTTGCTGATCAAGGATCCTAAGAAGGGGGACCGTCAGCTTGTCTACCTGCACCTGCGCACATAAAACGCAGGCCTCGGGAAATAGGGCATCAGTACAAATAATGTACTGAGTATGTAAGGCATGAAAATCAGTACATAAAAGACATATATGAAACATGGAATAAAGAATTTTGCCTGTAAGTCTAAATAACTTTGTAAATCCTGAAACATTTATAATGTCATGCACGTGCGTGTAAATGTCGTGTCATGCATAGGTATAGGTGTATATAACATCATCAAGCCTCTGAGGGCATCCCATCATATCATCTCGGCCATTGTGGGCAACATCATCAACGCATACTAGCTGATCAGGTGGTGGTGTGTATATAATACCGTAACCTTTTCTCATATCCCATATACATATATACGCATATATAACGCCATCTGGTCATGGATCAATGTACATGTATAAATGCATGAAATGCATAAAAAATACGTTAATAAGATTTCTCGGAATATCATAAAAATCAATATGTCTTTCGGATAAACTTTATCAAATACGTATTTTTCTGAGACCCATGAACAGAAGATATAATAATAATTCACATGGGGAATCAAGAATATAGACACCCCTAGTATTTCTACGAATAGAGTCATTTATGAAAGTTGCGTATTTTGCTCGTTTCATTTGTATTATTTTGATCATGCCAAAAATAAAGAAGGGATAGCCTTAACATACCTGGAGTAGGGAAAAATTCGTATGATATTCTTGAGACTGATTGCAACGTGCTCCCTTAAAATTGCAAAATTCCGTTGTTATTACGCAGTGCAATTTCGTATGAATTTCTTACAAATTTAAGAACTGTCGTCGCTATGAAGTCTCATATAAACTTCAAAAATTCCCTCACTTTCATTCCTTGTCTTTCCTTTCTGTATAATTCCTTGCAACAAATGAATTTGATAACCTAACTTGTTGAAATCTCTGTTTTCTTTGTTATTCTTTAAATTGTTGAAAGAGACGTAGTTTCAGATTGCACCATAATTAGAATCTTTACTATTCTTTAAATTGTTGAAAGATACATATCTATCTTTGAATTAAAAGGCCCTATGTTGAATTGATTGCCACCTAACCCATAATGACTAAGAGTCATATGGTTTGGTAGTGGCTTGCTGCCACGTGGGGGTGGGGGTGATTTTAATCTTTATCCATAACTCATTAGTTAATTAGGTTATATTCTGTTACCCAATAATTAACCAATTTACCACATAATTAAGAATTATCTCAACTTACTTAAAATACTACTCACTTTTAACATACCCTGTACACCTTACTATCATGCTCATGTAGTACCTTGTATGGCACTAGTCCATAAATATCGGGTATTATCGCTCGGACCGTATTTTATTCCAAATTGACAACTTTCAACGAAACTCATTTTCTTTGATTCGTTTACCCTTTATCCTTCACGACACTTACTTATCGCTTGTTATAAGTAGCATAAATGTGTATAACCTCAAGACAACCTCATCCCCGAGTCTACGTCGATTAACTTATGACGAAACTTTTACATACGAAATGCGGGATATAATATCCTTCCCCCCTTAGAAACATTCGTCCTCGAATGTTTAACTCCTCGGGATCTATATAAACTTTGGCAGAGTCGCCTTTGCAACAATACTACTACCAACTCTTCCTGTAGAAACTTAATAATTTAATGCCACATAGGACCACAATCATCAATAACGACAATGGCTTCACACGACCAATGACAATAACTAAGACAAGAATCCATACACGTACCTTAAGGCTGTAATGTCTTAGTCGGACCCTTCTATGGAAGAGGAAATACATGAGGATATCTAGACTTCATGTCTTCTTCGGCCTCCCAAGTCATTTCTTCCACATTGTTGCTTCTCCAAAGTACTTTTACCGAAGCTACGTCTTTAGTCCTCAATCACCGAACCTGTCTATCTAGTATAACAATGGGAGTTTCTTCATATGATAGCTGCTTTGTGACCTGAACGTCATCAACTGACATGATTCTGGAAGGATCTCCGATACATTTACGGAGCATAGACACATGAAAGACTGGATGTACAGATTCTAAGTCTGAAGTCAAGTTTAACTTATATGCTACCTGGCCTACCTTGCGTATGACCATATATGGCCCAATGTACCGAGGGCTAAGTTTTCCTTTCTTACCGAACCTCATAACACCTTTCATCGGTGATACCTTTGGGAATACCCAGTCGTCAATCAAAACTCTAAGTCTCGCCGTCAATTATTCGCATAAGACTTCTGATGGCTTTGAGCTGCTAATAGCCTTTCCTGTATAAGCTTAATTTTCTCGATTGCCTGTTGTACCAATTCCGGTCCTACTAATGTAGTTTTCCCAATATCAAACCACCCTATAGAAGACCTACACTTCCATCCGTAAAGAGCTTCGTATGGAGCCATCTGAATATTGGAATGGTAGCTATTATTATATGCAAACTCAACAAGCGGCATATGATCATCCCAGCTACCCTTGAAGTCTATCACACAAGCCCGTAATATATCCTCAAGTGTCTAAATAGTACGCTCAGCCTGTCTGTCTGTCTGGGGATGAAATGCTGTACTAAGACTTACCTAAGTCCCCAATCCTTTTTGGAAGGACCTCCAGAAGTTAGCTGTAAATTGAGCTCCTCTATCCGAGATAATAGATACAGGGACACCATGCAGTCGTACTATCTCCATAATATAAAGCCTTGCATAATCTTCTGTGGAATATGTAGTCCTAAAGGGCAAAAAATGGGTTGATTTTGTAAGCATATCAACAATCACCCATATAGAGTCGAACTTACGCTGTGTATGAGGTAAGCCAACGATTAAATCCATATTAATTACTTCCCATTTCCAAGTCGGAATCTCCATAGCCTTCAATAATCTACCGGGCTTTTGATACTTAATCTTAACCTGCTGACAGTTAGGTCACTGAGTAACAAACTCCGCTATATCCTTTTTCATTCCATCCCACCAATATACTTCCCTGATATCATGATACATCTTTGTTGCTCCTGGATGGATAGAATAATGAGAATAATGAGTTTCTCCCATAACCTGCCGACGCAGCCCTACAATATTAGGGACACATAATCGTCCTCGATATCTGAGGACCCCATCTTCTGTAATCTCAAATAGTGTCTTCTCTTTCTGAGGGGTGGTATCCCTATAATGAACTAACACAGGATCCTCGTACTGGCGTTCCTTCACTTCAGTTACTAAAGAGGATGTTGCTGTATCCTGAATAGTAATTCCAAATCACCTGAGTCCAGTAATCGAACTCCAAGACTAGCTAACTGATGAATCTCATGGGCTATTCCCCTCTTCTCTGATAGTAAATATGATAGGCTACCCATAGATCTACGGCTGAGGGCGTCGGCTACCATGTTCACCTTTCCCGGATGGTATAAAATATCAACGTCATAATCTTTAAGTAGCTCCAACCATCTCCTTTGATGTAAATTAAATTCCTTTTGCTTGAAGATATACTCGAGGCTCTTATGATCTGTATAGATATCAACATGAATGCCATATAAATAGTGCCTCCACATTTTTAGTGCATGAATCACTGTAGCTAACTCTAAATCGTGAGTCGGGTAATTCTTCTTGTGCTTTATTAGTTGTCTAGAAGCATAAGCTACAATCTTACCATGCAGCATTAGTACACAACCCAATCCAACGCTCGAAGCGTCACAATAGATAACATAACTATTGGTCCCTTCCGGGAGCGTTAGAACCGGTGCTGAAGTTAATCTGTCCTTCAATGCCTGAAAACTCTGTTCGTAAGCATCATTCCATTAAAACTTCACTCCCTTATGAGTCAACTTTGTTAGAGGTGCTGAAAGGGAAGAAAATTCCTCTACAAATCTCCTGTAATAACCTTCCAAAACAAGAAAGCTACGAACCTCCATTGGTGTCGTAGCTTTAGGCCAAGTCTTTACTGCTTCAATCATTTTATGTATCAACCCAGTTACCTTCACCCGAAATTATATGCCCAAGGAAAGCTACAGAGTTCAACCAGAATTCACATTTAGAGAATTTTGCATACAACTTCTCTTTTTGTAGAACTCTGAGCACAGTACACAAATGATCTACATGCTCACCCTCTGAACGAGAATATACCAATATATCATCAATAAATACAATTACAAACAGATCTAAAAAGGGTCTGAACACACGGTTCATCAAGTCCATGAATACTGCTGGGGCATTGGTCAAATC